TAGACGACGTACACGAACAGTACAGAGAGTCGTATAGAGAGAGAGAGAGAGAGAGAGAGAGAGAGAGAGAGAGAGAGAGAGAGAGAGAGAGAGAGAGAGACGGTTGGTTGGAGGGCCTGTCCTCTCTATTGTTCCCCTCAGCTCAGCAATAATAGAGTAGGGCTAGCCCACAGAGAGGGAGGGAGCGAGGGAGGGAGAGTCCCCTGTCCTTTTGACTGATGAATGATAGAGATGAAAAGGTGAGTTTGGTCAAGCCCAGGTGAGCCATCCTCACTTGATCATTTCTGATAGAGATCAATAGGTGAACTTTCACTGTCCTGGCTCATTTGATCATTCCGCATTTTTCATCATCATTTTTTTTTTTGGTGCTGAGTTTGGGGATTAAAGTTCATTTGTGGGATCTTTAACTTCCTTTGTACTGGTCCAGCAATTATCTCCCTCAAGAATTTCAAGGAGTAATACCTCTCAGCTGCATTGTTCATCGGAACCTGATCTACAATATAATTATGGAGATCCACATGTCACTGCAGAACCAGATTTATGCTCATTGGAGAAGGTAGTTACTTTGTTTCTCTAACCTTGTAGCCTGAAGCCATATATTCCTTGGTTTAATAAACTCTTGGGAAAGTATCCTTCAGTCGGATGGTGCTATGGATGATTGGATGGGGTCATGAACAGCCATTGAAATGGATGGCAATGGATAGAGAGTGGGTCCCTTCATCGGGTTCATGACCTGTTTCGGTCTCTCTCCATCACTATTCATCCTTTCAACTGATGGTTGACCCTAATGGAGAATGCTTTTCGTGTCCAATTGGACTATTGTGTACATTCCCTAAACATGTTGCATTCTTTGATGTTTCCTTATGTGGAGTACCATGACTTTCTTTTGGCTGTAAAAACTGCAAGAGTTATTTAAGTAGATGGGCGGTGAATTTCTCATGGAACTTGACTTTACATGAATCTTAGCAGAATCCAGTACCATGCACTACTGAAAATCAAGGCAGGAAGGGTGGTGTTTCGCTAATGGGGAAACCAGAAAAGGATGTGATTGTGGTACACCTTTGGCATTACCCAAATCACCTTTCAGAAGAAATGGTGCAGTGTATGAAAGATATCTTCATCTGTCTAGCTGATTCTTCCAAGTCATCTTCTTCAGAAACTATGGCCTCCCCAGTGTCTCCACATGGACATCCCTCTGTCTCTTCTTTTTCTTCTTCCTCTGGTTCTTCCTCAAAAAAGTCTTCCTTTGATTCTTCTTCTTCATATATACCATCCTTGATGAGAAGCCCATCAGTTGAGATAAATTACAGTAGTGGAGTCTTTGGCATGGAGAAGAGCTTTGATCCGTATAGAGTTCCTGAAAAGTTGAGTTGGGCACATATTGGAAACTATAGCTCAGCTGTTGAGGTGTCTTGGATGTCGGTGGGAAAGAAACAGCTTGAATATGCTGCTGAGGCACTTAGAAGATTCAGGTTTGAAATCCATAGCAAACTTAAATTCATATACGAACTACTATATTATATCAGCGGATTTGTCATTTATATCTTGTTACTTTGTAAGTGTTTTCTTTTTTTGGATGTAATTATGATTAATATCTTGATTCTTACCCATTTCTAATCAGTCTCTCTCGCTTTCACTTTCTCTGTCTTTCTCCCCCCCCTCCTGATGTGCGTGTGTGTGTACAAGTTTGTTTGCCTTTGCCCAAAAGTGCAAGGAATAATAAACTGATATTTTGTGCAATCCTAATTGCATGTGATGAAGATCACTTGTGGAACAGCTGGCAAAAGTTAATCCAGCTTGCATGACTTGCAACGAGAAAGTTGCTTTCTGGATCAATGTGTATAATGCCTTAATTATGCATGTAAGTCTCCCCCATTGTTTTTCCTGTAACTATGTTGGCTAGTATATTGTTTAGCTAAATGCATTCCGCCGAAAATCGAATGTATAGCTCACTTTGGTTAAACAAGTGCTGTTTCATGTTATTGATATCCTTGGTCTTATACTTCATCAACTTCTATACTTCCTCTGTATCGTTTCTTTGATAAAAGGGTTCACTATAACTCTATTACTTTTTATTGATCCTTGTTTTCTTCAATTTGTTTTCTCACTGTGGTGCATGATTAGCCAAGGTTTTTCTTTTGGGATTATCGTCTAGTGATTGATTTGTACTCTTGTTCCCCTCAATTATCTTTTTAAATTTGGTCATTTACTATCCACTATTTAAATATGACATTAATAATTTTCAAATTGGGAAAGCATATATATGCTGGTTTAGACAAGAATGACATTAACCATCCCCAATAATTGATGGTGGAGATTAACCGTGACTGAGTGAATGTCACTGGAAACTTTGCTTACTCTTCACCATCTCTCATTGGGAATAAAAGGAGGATGTCCCATAGGTGTACGATCTACCAATTTGCCCTGGTGTATCATTTATGTTCCCTTAAAAAAGTTTCCATCTCCTCAAAAGATATTCTTCTTGGTACGTTCATGAATTATATAAAACCTGACATTTCTCATTCCTTTTGTCAGGCTTATCTCGCTTATGGAGTCCCAAGAAGTGACTTGAAGCTTCTGTCTTTAATGCAAAAGGTTTGGTTATGTGGTGATTTGTATCTCTGTGATGCTCAAACTCAAAAATTTTGTGTCCCTGACCTAACTTCAAAGTTGTACATTTGACCATTTGGTGCAGGCATCTTACACTGTTGGGGGGCATTCTTTCAGTGCAGCTGCTATTGAATATATTATTCTCAAGATGCAACCTCCAGTGCACCGTCCCCAAGTGGTATGCCATTCCATTACAACAATCACGAGGAATTTCTTATTAATCTATGGTTTTAGTCTTGTTCTTTATTGGTTAATTAAGCTGGACTTTATACCATTAGGCACTGGTTTTGGCACTTCACAAGTCGAAGATACCAGAGGAGCAAAGCAAGTATGCTGTTGAAAGTGCAGAACCCCTTGTTGCATTTGCTCTTAGTTGTGGGATGTATTCTTCACCTGCAGTAAGTTGCCAATGTATTTATGTGAGATAAATATTTATTTACACAAGGGGAAGTCAACATAATCTGATGGATTGTGGTACTCCAAATGGGCAGTCACCATCTGTTCTTTATGATGGACAGTGGAGACCCTTGTTGCATTTTCTTTTAGTTGTGGGATGTATTCTTCACCTGCAGTAAGTTGCCCATGTATTTATGTGAGATAAATATACACAAGGGGAAGTGAACCATAATTTGATGGATTGTGGTACTCCAAATGGGCAGCCACCATCTGTTCTTTATGATGGACAGTGGAGATAAGCTATACCAGGGTGAGATCTCTTTGGCCCCTACCATGGTTAATCTCTACTATTTGTCTTCATAAACAAATGGTGATATTCCCTTGTTTTATGGTATTCTTTCACTTCACACAAAGAGTTAAACAGCATTGAATTAACAGGTTGATTCTATGTGTGTTGTCTATATAATTCGTCTTCAAGTGTTTTTTACAATTTGCATCTTGAAAAGTAAAAACCATTCCTAACATTCTTGAGCTTGAATTTCCATGGGAAATTGCCTAGGGATCGCCTAGGGTACATGAATTTTGCTAATGATTGCCACCCTATTAGATACCCTGCAACTGAGGTTTGAAGTGCTTAGTAGAACAGGCTCTTTGGACAATCAGGGAAAAGTTTATGCGCTATTTAGACGGTATAGAGTTTGGAATTGTTAGATGGTTTTTTGTCACACACACACACACAGGGTTTTATTAACCATCACCTTCATGGTGAATTATAATACCATTCACAATGTATTTTAGTCATATATTATCTGTTCTCTTCGTGGAAGATCATTGTACACATAAGAGTATTTTGATCACTCGCAGCAACTTTGGAAGTAACATGAATTTTGCATGTTACCCACATAGAATGCCCCATTATACGGGAACATTCAGACCTGGTTTGGATGTGCCAGTAAGCTGCCTGCACAAAGTGAGCTTCTTGACATTAGACGCAGAAACTCTTCTTTTTTGTTTCAAATGACACCTTTGCAGATATATGACTTTTGGGTCACAGAATTTGTGGAATACTGTTGATATTACCGATGAGAATCTTGGCACCAAAGGCCATGCGTATAACCTTGCTTCATGCGGCGCTTATACTTGCATCCAAACAGGACCTCAGTGTGTGGCAACTCAAAGCAAATTGCATTTTTATGTTATTTCCAAAAATACTGTTGGTAAAATGATTACAATAAAATGCAAGGTAATTAGCGTCCAATTTATATGGTGAAGGAGGACCGTATTCACCGTGTACAGAGACGCCATATGTCTGTATATGCATGTAAACGTCAAAGGATTTTGTGACCGCATCAAACTTCTGAGGGTCTGGATAAGGAACATGGAAATGTCTGATGATGAAACAGAAGAAACAGACCTTTAGAGCCCTTGGCTGGCTCACTTGGGTCATCAGAAGTAGTTTGAGCTGTTGTTCCATTCCCCTTTTCAGGGCCTTAAGCTCTGGTCATCCTTCATGTGATCAATGGTCTTATAATTTTCTTGTCCCTCAATTTATGAAGCTGGTAGGAGAAGACAAACACCTTTTGGAAGTTGACGTTGGCATGTCTCGGGATGAATTTATTTCTTTGTTGCATGAGTCGCAAATGGACAAACTTTGCATATCACATAATTTATTTGTAGAAGCACATTGGGCTCTCACAAGTAGGGATTGTCGACGATAGGACTGTTTACCTTTATTACGATTACCTTCAGCTGTCAGATGTGAAATAGATTTCTTAGAAGGTAATCACAAAGTTTGGAGAATTTTCTTTTGGACTATGAATGCAATAAATGGCACACCTTCATCTGTCTGATTTCACATCCAGCTTCCAAGGGCGAATGTTACCTCCTTGTACCAAAAGTAAAATAGTCTTATTTGTATACTTTTCCTATGTATTAGGTTGGCCCACTAGTTGGTGTATATGTTCGTCAACTCGGGAATGGATGATGGGGAAACTTTAATTGGATAGAGGATCTCATGCAAGAATGCGTCACGATCACAGATTATAATGTTTTGCCAGATTAAATGTAAAACACTGGCATTACAATGACAATGTCATGAAGCCATGTCAATAAATTTGAATTTGAGAGTGAGGATTACCTCACGCGGAAGGAATGAGAATGTGTTCATACAAAAAACATGTGTTTTGTCAGGTGTGGTACACCATTAATGTTGGTTGTCTACGTTTAGTCATTTGGGTTCCCACATTGGCCTCCTAATTTCTATCTGGGACCCTTGCTCGGGATTGCTGATTGAGTTTGGTGGGTGGCCCAAGTTTCCTTGGTTGTTTGGTGTCACATCACAGCTGGCAAGTTTTTGTCATTGGTTGCTCTTGGCTTTTAGAATCAATGAAGGCATGATCTCCTTTTTCTTTAGAAGAAAAAAAGAAAGGCTGAATATAAGGGGGGATCGATTAGGAACCACTCAAAACATATGATAAAACAGACTCTTGTCTTGGTTGAACAATTGTTTTTATTTTTGGCTCCTTCATGTAAACAGCATGCTTTGACATTTCATTAGTTGGATATTGATTTTGATGGGCTTCAACAATAGAATACAAGTTTCATTTTACCTCAGTTATATTTGGGATTTGGATTACGCTGGGATAGCTCCACGTGACTACTTGATGCAGGGAGAAAAATAATAAACTAAAAAATATAATTGAAGATAAAGGCTTGAGAGATTATACCTTGCAAAGAGTCCACCCCAATATCTTTTCACAAGATCAAACCCTTTTTTTATTCTGTAATTACTCTCTACAAAGAAGGGACTTCTTCCCTTTAAATACAAACTTATAAGGAATAAATAAATAAATAAATAAATAAATAAACAACAAACTAAACTCTATCTCTCCATTACCTATTAAAAACAAGTTTAACATATCTTAACGAACTCAACCTTGCTAATCCTTATTTATATCCATCTTTTTCTTAAAAAAAACTAAACTTCCAATTCTACCCCTTAAGTCTCTACATCTTAAAAGGACAAGCTAAAGAAAGCTAAAAATCTAAATAACATATATTTTAAGTCCTAAAAAAATATAAAAATAAAAAAATTAAAAATCTTTTTTTTTTATTTGCATCACAAATCTACCTGGTGCTGCTGCAAATAAATAGATTGGATTTGTGGGTTCAAGATGGTCTCAATGTCCTTATAAGTGGCATGAGTTTGTTACGCTATTTTGGGTGTGATATTGATACTTTGTTTTGTTGCTGGTATTTTTTTTATTTTTTTATAATGTTAACCTTAAATTGATAAGAAATAGGAATACAGAAGGCCTTGGCGATCCACAGAGGAGGATGCCCAAGGGAAAACAAACCAGAAAAGCAGAGTCGAGTCCTCTTTTAGGAGGTTACAATGGAGCATAGCAACCTAGTAAAACATGTCGATCCATATTGCAAGAAAGAGAAAAAGGCCAAAAAACCAAAAGGCAAAGAACCATTAGACATCCGCCATCGCTGCTGCTTCTTTAGCGAGAGTATCAGCTTCTTGGTTTCCTTCCCTCCAGGTATGCATCCACGCGACGGACATATTCCTGCAAAGGTGATCGATCTCATCAAACAAGTGAACCGGGAACCAGGGAGGGGGGGGGAGCAAGAAAGTCTTTGAGCCCAAGAAATGGTATTCTTGGAGTCACCCTCCACCACTAAAGAATGCAAGTGGAGGGGTTCTATGAACTTAAGGCCAACCAATAGCACTAATGCTTCAACCTCCATAAAATTGGCGTGGCCAATGCGCTTGGAGATGGTTGCCACAATACAGCCGAGGTGGTTTCTAAGGATGGCTACAACTTCTGACGGACCAGGGTTCCCGATAGAGCAACCGTCAAAATTAAGTTTAAGGTGAGGGCGGGGGCTTCCACCTAGTGGTCATGGGCAGGCGCATTTGATGGAATTGGAGGATGTTGCACCAATCCTGGCTGAACGTCGAGGAACTCCTTTGAAGCAGCAATGGTTGGTTGCCGACTTGAGCTTGTCAAAACCTTTGGTCCAAGGGTAGAACTCCCCCCAGAATGTTTTGTTGTTGCGCTCGATCCATAGGGCCCACAAAGAAGCTGCCACCATGGATCTCCAGAGAAGGATTCCCGCCTTAGGCCATGGGTAAGGTTTGATGGCAGAGAGAATGGATATTACCTCTGCCGGTAATACCCACTGAACATTGAAAAGTTTATGGATTGCCCCTAGAGATTGTAAGCAAAGGGGCAGTGCAACAACAGGTGGTTGTTGGTTTCCTCAGCTGCAAGGCACATTACATATTAATTAGGATCGGGATACCCCTTCTTTGCAGTTGATGTACTGTGAGGACTCACTGGGAGAGAGCTAGCCACATGAATATCTTAATTTTAGGAGGGGCAAAAGAATCTCAGGCCTGAGCAGCTACAACAACAGGAGCTAAAGGGAGAGTAGGAGGTAGAGAAAGGCTGCAGAAGAAAGAGGAGATTGTGAACAGCTCAGAGGGTGATGGTGCCCCAATGATGCGATCAGGACTTGTGGGTGCTAAGAAGCAGGCGTGAAGGTCTGTCGCTAGAGTTGCAAAAATTTCGATTTCATAGTCATTAAGAGCCCTCTTGAAGACTGGGTTCCATGAGCGGAGGGACCTTGTCGAGAGCATTTCTTTTGCTATAGCAGCCCCTTGATCTCGAGCTAGAGTATAGAGATTAGGGAACCTATCCCTGAGAGGTGTGTGGCCTAGCCACAAGTCTTGCCAGAATAGGATGCGATTACCCGATCTCGGATGGAATCTGATCCGGGATTTGAATACGTGGAAGGTAGAGCAAATCGACCTCCAAATGCCGAAGGACCTCTGGTTGGTCATACAATCCGGTAGCCACGGTGTGTTCGAGAGATGATATTTATGCTTAAGGATATCGATCCACAACTGATCCCTTAAGGTTGTCAGACGCCAGCACCATTTGTCAAGGAGAGTTATGTGTTCTAAGGTTCTTGATCCCTAGACCTCCCCTTT